CAGAGGCTGACTATCAGCCACTGTGGCTGCCTTCATAGATGCAACCAGTTCAGACCAGCCCACCTCAAGGGCAGCTTCTGGCCTCCAAGCAACCAGGAGGATGATAGTAAGAGAGCTTAGTGGAGGAAAGAGATTCAGGTAGGCCACTTAGGCACTAGAGGAAAGGGCAGGATAGCCTCTGTGGTGAGACAGGGAGGACTGACCGGACCTTGAAGTGACCATTTCTCTCCACCACTCATCCTGGAAGGCCTCTTTCTTCTTTCTTCTTTGTCCCTTGCCCACTTCTCATTTGTTTCTCTCTTTCTCATGAAACCAATCCTACTCCTGTCTCCCTTGCTTTCCTTTTATTCAGTTACAGACTACAACAACTAAACCTGGTGTTAAAAAATTGCCTAGTTCTGAAGCTGAGCATAGTGGCACACACCTGAGTGTATAACTCTGAGTTTGCAGAATGTAGAGAAAGGAAGATATAGAGTTTAAGGGCAACCTCCATCCGGTAAATACCAATTTTGAGGCCACCCTTGGTATCTTAATTAGGGTTTTTGTTGCTGTGATAAAACACCATGACCAAAAGCAAGTTGGGGAGGAAAAGGTTTATTTCACTTCCACTTCCACATCACAGTTCATCATCCAGGGAAGTCAGGGCATGAACTCAAACAGGGCAGGAAGCCAAGAGGCAGGAGTCGATGCAGAGATCATGCAGGGGTGCTGCTTACTTGCTTGCCCCTTAAGACTTGCTCAACCTGCTTTCTTATAGAGCCCAGGACCACCAATCCGGGGATGTAGCACCACCCACAATGGGCTAGGTCCTTCCCCATTAATCACTAAGGCTCTACAGGCTTGCTTACAGCCCTATCTTGGGGAGCCATTTTCTCAATTGAGATTCCCTCCTCTCCAATGACTTGTTTGTGTTATGTTGACATAAAACTATCCAGCACACTGGGATACTTGAGACACTATAAAACAAACAAAAAACAAACAAACAAACAAAGAGGACTAGAGTTTGAATCCCAGTATGCACGTAAGTGCTGTGTGGCATGGTGGTCTGTTTGCAATTGCAGACTCAGAAGGTACAAGGGTGGAGACAGGCCATCCCCAGAGCTAGCTGGCTAGCCAGACTTGCCTTATCTGCAAGCTCTGGGTTTGACTGAGAGACCTTGCCTCAAAAATAAGATGGAGAGTGAAGGAGAAAGCCTCCGTGTCAGCCTGGGACTCCCACATGCACATGGCTCATACACCTTCTCACACACATGTACAAACAAACACACACACACACACACACACACACACACACACACACACACACCAAACCACGAACCAAATCAAAACTCTTGTTCTGTGCTTTCAAACATATTAAAAATATTTCCAAACTCTCTCACAGAAAACTTTCATACAACCCCCCCAAGATATAAAGCTGATGGGGTTTCTTTGCACTGAAAGAGGAAACTAGGATGTCATGCTACATCCACCCAGCTTCCAGTTGGGTAATCCTATTCCCACCCCAAAGAGCTCCTGAGTTCCAATGTCCTGAGATGACAGTCTAAGAGAAGCCCCACATTTGACAGGTGATGAGACAGAGCCTAGAGAGTGGCAGCACATGGCTTTATGACTTTTTTTTGGGGGGGTGGCGTTTCGAGGCAGGGTTTCTCTGGGGCTTTGGAGGCTGTCCTGGAACTAGCTCTTGTAGACCAGGCTGGTCTCGAACTCACAGAGGTCCACCTGCCTCTGCCTCCTGAGTGCTGGGATTAGCACATGACTTTTTATATGTATGAAAAACCCTCTTGCAGTTCAGGAGGTAAAGTCATTCCCAGAGGGTCAAAAACGGCTTTCATTCACCAAGACCACACTCAGCCCTCAGAACTGGAAGTAGTCTTCAGACTTTCTCTCCTGTTCTGATGCAACTGCTGACCTTTTCTCCTGGCTCAAGAGGAGAGGAAAAAGAACAGGCTTCTGAAAGGACGAGTGCAGGCTGCTATGCTGCCTGTAATCCTGGCTGGGAAGGCAGAGGCAGGAGGGTCAGTTCCAAGCCTAGCGACATAGTGGGACACTGTTTCGGAAGGAGAGAGGAGGAGGGGTAGGAAAAGGAGAAGGAAGTGGAAATAAGAAAGAAGTGGAGGAGAAGGAGGAGGAGGAATAAGAGGATGAGAAGGAAGAGAGGAGGAGGAGAAAGTGAAGTCTACAGATCCTAACCTGGGCATCTCTATGACCCGCTGTGCAAGGGTTTCTATACCAAAAAAGTGGCTAGGGCCAGTGATGTGGAGTGAAATGATGTTCACATAAACAAAAGAGCTTTGTGGGCTGGGTGGATTCTGACATGACCAGGCACAGGGACATGACAACTTGCTTTTCCTCTGAGGGAACAGCAGCTTAATGCTGATGTGTCAGCTCCATCATTGTGCAAGCCCTCCTCCGCCTCCTTCTTCCCCGCAGCTATAAGATGCACTGTCAGATGAACACTCATTCTTCTTCCTCCTTTGTAATATAACAATATGGATGTTTATAAAGCTTCTCCTCGCCTTTCAAAGTCAATACAATTAAAGCACAATGCATCTTAATTGCCAGCCCCCAGCCCTGTGCAGAGCAAATGGCAACCATCCCAATTAAAACAAGCATGGGCACTGAACTGAGGAAGGGTAGGAGGCAGGCTGGGACTTCTGCAAAAATTGCCCCAGACATAGCAGAAGACAATTTGCATTGAAGGTGCCTGGTTTTCCATAGTGCCCTCTGTGGGTTCTTTACAATTGTTTTGATACCAATCATTCCCCATGTCCCACAGTTTTCCAGAGGCAGGGGCAAGGCAACTAAATTATCTTTGCAGAGAAACAGCGCTCCAACAAACCATGTCAAGAGGCGCAGAAGACAATCACACTGTGGGTGGCACAGGTCTATAATCCAGCACTTGGAAGGAGGCTGAGGCAGGAGGATCTTGAGTTTGAGGTCAACCTGGGCCACATAGGAAGACTGCCACAAACAATAAACAAACTAACAAATAAAAACACAATCAGAATCAACTATCTTAAAGTTTGACATCCTTTTTGTCATTATAGCAGTAAATGGTTGTTGGCTTAATATGAAAAGTTTATTTTTATCAAATATGTTCATTTTATTTTCTATTTGTTTTGCCCTACATAGATGTCTGTGTACCACATGCATGCTAGGTGTCCATGGATGTCAGAAGAGGGCATCAGACCCCCTAGAACTGTAGTTACAGATGGTTGTTAACTACCATGTAGGTGCTGGAAATTGAACCTGTACCTTCTGCAATAGCAACAAATGCTCTCTTAATCAATGAGCATCTGTTCAGCCACCAAAAGTTGGAATTTCTTAAGCAAATACTTTGGCCTAGTGTAATGGCTCAACGGACAGAGGCCCTGATGGCCTGAGTTCAGTCCCTGGGATCCACACAATAAACGGAGAGAACTGACTCCTACAAATTGTCTTCTGACTTCCACACCCACACTGTTGTGCTCCAGCAAACCACACACACACACACACACACACACTCAGAAGTAAGTATAAATAAAATAAAAATGTAAAAGAAAATATTGTAATATAGCTTTAAGCTCTTGCATTGAGAGAGAGAAGTACTTAGCAAAAAGACAGTGCATACTCAATACATGGGTGCCAGTTTCTCAAGAGAGAGTCACCTCATGGTCTGGTCAAAGAGTGGAGTGAGCCACATGTATAAGCCACTAAGGACAGCACCAGCATCTAGTAAGGGCTCTTTCAGTCAGAGCTGCTGTTCCTGCAGGGCTTTGAGTGCACAAAGTGCTGCCTCAGACGGTATTTTCTCTTGACTGAAATCCAAATCATCTGGCTCAATCCCAGATACTTTAAAAAGATTTAGAATGCCGAGTACTGTCCAGTTGACTTTACTGAGCACATCCCAAAGAGGCTAGTCTATGGATCATGGGTTTCCCAGCTCCCTCCAGCCCCCGCCTCAGTCAGGCATTCCTGCTGCTGGGAAGAAAAACTCCCCCACTTAGGAAGTGTGAACTGTCCCTGGTCTGTTTCATAACACCAGGCAGAAATATGCAAATTGTTAGCCATGCTTCCCCCATCCCATCTCCCCACTTCCAAATGCCACTGGTACTTCAAATAAGAAAAACAAAAACAAAACAAAACAAAATGTGAAGGATGGGAGGTCAGGGGATTAAATGATAATTTTCCCTGGTGCCTTATAAAGCTACATTGAGAGTGCTGGTCACCATCTGTCCCTTGTACCCTAAGCAGGCAAGCATAGAGAACTACAGTGTTTAGATAACCTGGTGTGTGTGTGTGTGTGTGTGTGTGTGTGTGTGTGTGTGTGTTATTAGCTGACTGCTACTGTGTAGATGGGACTACAAGGATGTTGGGGACAGAGGTAACTTGTTCAGAGTACCACAGTGAGTCAAAGCTCCACCCCTTCGCTTGTGAGCTCTTTCATTTTCCTCTGCCCCTCTGAGCTGAGTGTTCTCATCAATAAAACCAGGGTTTACAGGCACGAACCCTCCAGGGCACTGTAAAAGGCCCACGACTTACCTCAGCCATATGCTTAACACAATCAGTGGCACACAAAAGGGTCCAATAAATGCCAGGTACTATTATTACCCCCAAAGAAGATCTGTGCCTCTTCTCTTACACCAAACGGGACTCTATTCCTGAATGAGGATGATGGCTTTGTCTCCGGGTGACCAAGTGTTAATTCCTCAGCAAGGTTCACGATGTGAGACACGGGGGCATGAGCAGTAATGCCTTATCTTCTTTGAGGAAAGCTGTTTGGTTCTACTGTGGTGGGTTCACTTGTGGCACCTGGGCTGAACCCTCTTATTGACAGGGTGCACACTCCCTCATAAAAGCTCACTCCACTAGGAAGTGCTCTAATTAGTGTCCCTCCTCCTGTTCTCCTTCTACCTCCCAGCCCTTCGTTTCTCCGCTCCTCCTCCCTTTTTTCTTTCTCTTTCTCTTCTCCTTTCCTACGTGGCCTCTGTCTTCTCAAGTCCTATCACTTCCACGAGTCAATGGCCCCTTTCCAGAAGTCTCTTTCCAATCGCCGCGGGCTGTGGGGACTCTGCCTACAGAGATGTAACGACTTTATAACTTGCAGAATCTATCTGAAGTGACACCTTATGGCTTAGCTTTCTGGTCCTCTCATCCACCCGTGCAGTAGGTTTCCATGACTGACCTCGCCAATGATCAAATGAAACGTGAAATGGGCTATTCCGAAGCCTTGAGGCCCAGATGGGTCGATATGCAAGCCAAGGGCAGAGCTGGGGCTCTGTGAATCGAAGCACACTGGCCTAGTTTGGTTGCTGGGGGATGTTCTGTCTAGAAGCAATCCCTACTACTTCTGGAAACCAGCCAGCAGAGCTTGGGCCCGCGCGGCCGCTTTAAGAAAGGGGCGGGGCCCGGCACAGGCGAGGCAGGGCCTGCCCACAAGGCTGCTTTTCCTTTTTGATCCATTCAAAAATTACTCATTGCAAATTCCCGGACAGCTCAGGGAGGAGAAGCCGGGGGGCGGAGGACAGAGAAGGTTGCAGCGGCGCAGTGTTGGGACTCCCAGACACAGCGGGCTAAGGTCGGTCCCACAGAAGCCGCCGGCCCGCGCCGAGCTCCGGTGGCCTCTCCAGGAAGCGTCAGTCTCCGCCCGAGGAGCTGGGAGCACCGCCCCCGCCGTCCTCCCGGGACCCCCAGCTCCGACGCGCGGGCGATGGGCGGCCGCTGAGTGGGTACTCGGCACCGTGACCCTAGCCCTCGGCATGGCCGCGCGCGAGGAGCTGTATAGCAAAGTCACCCCGCGCAGGGACCGCCTGCAGCGCCCGGGCACCGTCAAGCATGGGTCGGCGCTGGACGTGCTCCTGTCCATGGGTTTCCCCCGCGCCCGAGCGTAAGTAACCCGCTCGGTCCCCGCCACCCTCGGCTTCGCTCCGGCTCGCCGTCCTGGCGCTGCCTGAGACCTTCTTGAGGGGACACGATGGGCGCGCTGGCAGCAGGAGTGCTGGGCTAAGGGCTTGCTTGGGAATGTTGGGCTACTAGGGCAGCTGGTTCGAATCCTGGGCTCCGCGGACGTCCCTGGGCGTTTTGCGCGCGCGCTCTCCCCTGGTCTCTTTTGCTAAGCCGGAGGGAAGGCGGATCCCTTGGAGGACTCGGATCCCTTATCCATCCAGAGTGCCGAGCCAGCTTGGGGTGACAGGGTGTGTGTGTGTGTGGGGGGGTATCTTCTGGTGGCTGGGGAAAGGCAAGGAGCATCGGGGCAGGGTGGCCAGCACCCCTGCTGCAGCGGCTTCCAGCTCCGGATGTCGCTCTTGAGCTCAGGCTCTCTCCAGAGTGGGAGGAGCGGGAGCGTGGGTGTCGCTGCGTGTTCATTGATAGAGACGATGGAATGGGAAGGAGAAGCGATTCCTCCAGGGGACCAGGGTTCTCGTCAGTGGTGACGGCAGCTCTGAAAGCTGTGGGTGCTGGAAAGTGGGGGGGGGTGCTGCCTCCTCCTTCCTTCCTGAGGGTGGGCTGGGGAAGGGCAGAGAGCGCAGGTGGCTGTCACTGCAACCTTCAGGAAAGAGCAGGGTTGCCAGCGTCTGGCATCAACAGCAGGAGACCTCTGGAGCCGGTGCACTCCAGTGCAAGGGGTTGGAACCTCGCCTGACAGAAAGCCGGCGCCGGTTGCCCGGGGAGGGGACAGGGGGCTTCTCTGTTTAATTCCTTTGTGTCCTTGGTGGGGACACAAAGTCCAGGATGGTGGCAGATGCCGCTTTCTCACTCTTTCATTTACATCACCTGAACTGGAGTTGGACGAACTTGTTCAGTAAGTTCGTTCTTTCCTATGCTTTCAGGCGATAACTATAGGGGTCTTTCCTGGGAACCTTGGTTCTTCGCTAACTTGGCTGCAGTCTAAATGAAGCAGACTCCTGAATGTATCATCCCACCCGGCCTGCTAGGACAGGCTGGAGTTCTGTTTGGCCCAGTCGGTGAAAGGCCACAAAGTGGACCAAGATTTCTGCTTCCTGCTGGCTTCGAAATACAGAGAGAAGATGTTAAGGCTTCTACAAGAGGTGCTAGGGTGAGGGTCCTCCACAGAAAGCCCTGGGTATGGATGGCATTCTGTAGGGTCTCGTGAGAACCCGGGCAGAGTCCAAATATGCTGTAGAACTTGCATAGTTCCAGACTGCTGTCATTTCTGAAGTGAGACCAGCGTCACGGACCCATAGTGCTTAACTAAAGGAGAAGTGTTTAACTGGACTCTTCAGATTCTCGTATCTGATATTAAGTGGGCTTTAAGGGAACAATCTATTTCCCGCAATGGGCCTCAGAGGCCTTGCTCAGGTCCTGGCAGGGTAGGAGGATGGCCTGATTTTGTTTTGTTTAATTTCTAGGGTCGCACAATAGCTAGATTACTGACTGTTGTTGATGGTTGAAAATATTTTCATTAACCGTTTAGCCTCGTAGCAGCTTAATGAAGACATACTCCATGCCTGTGTTGTAGCCAGGGAAGTCAGGGCTTAAAGAGGTGATACAACATGCATTGGGTCACAGTAGTTGGGGGTGGGGGAAGCAGAGATTCAAACCCAGGCCTTGTGTCTGCATTGCAAGACGCCACAGGAAGAGCCATAGGATTCCATGTGGATGAGATGCTCAGCGGTTCCCAGCATACAGTAGGCCGGCACTAAGTGGTAGTGCTGTATTTCTTTCTTTTGGCTGCTGGAACAAGTGGCTACAGTCGGGATGGCTTAAGTCAACAGAAATGTATCCTCTCCATATTCTAGAGGACAGATGTTCCAAGTTGGTATCCTCGGGGATAAAACTGTTGGCGAGGTTGTGCTCCCCCTGGAGGCTTTAGGGAGAATCCCATCCCATTCATCCACTTTCTGCTAGCTGGTCGGCATTATTTGGTTGTGACTTTATCATTCCATACAGTCTATACCTTTGTCTTCTCTTTGCCCCAAATTTCCCTCTGGGTGTCTCTTATGATACATGTAGGAAAAGTGTGTGTGTGTGTGTGTGTGTGTGTGTGTGTGTGTGTGTGTGTGTGTGTGTGTGTGTGTGTGTGTGAGAGAGAGAGAGAGAGAGAGTGTTTACACATATGGCCATATGCAGGCTCATTCCCCCATTTGTTCCTGTGTGGAGGACAGAGTTTGACCTTGAGTGTCTTACACTCTTGCTCTCCACCTTATAACCTTATATTTCCAACAGGGTCTCAGTGATGTCGAGCTTGTTGTTTTTGCTGGACTAGCTGGCCCGGGAGCCCCCACAATCCACCTGTCTGAACCCCACCTAGTGCTGAGATCTTGGACGCTTGTTAGTGCAGGCAGCCTTTACTCGGGTGCCAAGGCTCCAGACTCAGGTGCCTGTGCTGTGAGCACTTTACCCGCTGAATCATCTCCTCAGCCCCTGATATACTGTGCATACATGGAGTCCCATACATGTTCACACAGCGTAATGTTGAAATTGAGCTGTTTCTTCAGATATGTAACATTCCTCAACATTCCTCCCTCCCTCCTCTCTTTCCTACCTTCCTTCCTTCTTCAGTTTTTTTTTTTTTTCTAGTGAGACAAGGTCTTTTTTGTGTAGTCTAAGCTAGCTAGCATCAAGTTTCTCAGCCTCCTGCCTTACCATCCTGAATGTGTGTGTTACCAGCCTTAATTTTTTTTAATGATACAAACTTTCAATTTTTTTCTTATTTTAAAAAAAATGTAAAAACTTTTAAATACAGGACTGGAGCAGTGGCTCAGGGGTTAAGAACATTTGTTCATGCAGAGGAGCCAGGTTCAATTCCCAGCACCCACAGGGCAGCTCAGAACTGCCTGTAATTCCAGTTACTGCCCTCTTCTGACTGCCTCAGGCACCATGCACACATGTGGCACACAGACATACATGCAGGTAAAAATACTTACATGCATAAAATAAACAAATCTAAGAATAATAATTACATTCATTTATTTGTCTGTGCCCCACCCACATGCATGTGGGGGCCACAGGACAGCTTCTGAGAGTCTAGCTCTCTCCTTCCACCACATCGGTCTCAAGGATCAAACTCAGGACATCAAGCTTGATGACAAGCTCTTGGTATAGCATCTCCAGTTCCACCCCTGTCCTTAGCAAATGGTGGGATTTTGTTCTTTTTTATGGCTTAGCAGTGTTCTGTGAATGCATATGACTGTCTTATGGTTTTGAGTAATCCAGAATAATTGCCAATGTCAAAGTCATTCCTGAAATTCATCACATCATTCTTGTTAAGTCTTTTCTTTGCCATGTAAAGTAGTGTTTAGGGATTAAGATATATATATATATATATATATATATATATATATATATATATGTATGTGTGTGGTGTGTATGGTGGAGCTTGCCTTTAATCCCAGCACTTGGGAGGCAGAGGCAGGTCGAGCTCTGTGAGTTCGAGGCCAGCCTGGTCTGTGGAGGAGTTCTGGGACAGCCAGGGCTGTTACAGAAAGAAACCCTGTCTCAAAAGAAAAGAAAAGGAAAGGAAAGGAAAGGAAAGGAAAGGAAAGAAGGGAGGGAGGAAGGAAGGAAGGAAGGAAGGAAGGAAGGAGAGAGAGAAATGGGGAAATGGGTATCTTTTGGAGAGTCATTCTGTAGCCTACCACAAGTATTACAGTATTTCTAGTATTGCCTCTCTTTACCAAAGAGAAAAAAACATAAGGTCTGAGGGAGGATGGGAGGTTGGGTTTAATGCTCTTAGCTAAATTTTTTTCTAGAGGGGAGTGGTGTTATTGGAGTCACCTGATCAGATCAGATTCAATGCCCTGAGCAGGCTTTGTTTTGCCATTTTTTGTTTTCATGGGGTCTCTTATACCCCAGGCAGGCCTTGAACTCACTGAGTAGCTGAAACTGGCCTTGAAATCCTGATCCTCCTGCTTTTGCCTCCAAAGTGCTGGGATAATAGGGCCCCCAAAGAAGGCTTGAATCTGGTCCCTGTTCAACCCTAAAAGCACAAGTCTCTGGTTGGTTCACTCTAGTCAATAAGAGATAGCTATTTCAGATTTCAGACTGTAGGCTTTTAACTTCCCATGGAGAACCAAGGAGGACTGCAAGATTTACCTAAACATTGGAGGACAGAATGAAACCTGTCATCCCTGGGGTCCCAGAAGAGCCTTGGTGTAGCATATGTAAAGAGACCCAGCCACTCTTCTGGAGAGAATAGCTAAAGCTGGGCTACTAGCAGGACTCCCTAACTGGGTCTGTTGTCCTGGAACAGGGACTGGACTGTGGATGGCTACAGAGATGACATGTCAGCAGGTCCAGGTCCTGTTCTGATTTGTTCTGTGTTCCTGAAGCTGACAACTCCCCAGGGCCTTGAGGAAGCCTTCTCAGGGGAATGCTCTTAATGATCGAGGCTTGTTAAGTGCTTCTTAGACCTGAAAGTAGCAGCACTGTCAGCCTGGGCCACCCAGGGTGACCTCTGAGTGGGGATGAGGTGGGGGGAGGGGTTCTCTCTGTTCTCTCTGGCTACTCTTAGGGGCTTTGTCACATCACATAACCTTCAGTTCAACCTAAACACTGCCTTAGTAGAGTGACTGTTTTCCACTTGGTGGTTTTGTTGGGGAGTGGGACAAAGAGGGAGCGAATGAGGTGGGGATGAGTTAGCGACTCTGGGAGGAAACTTTCAAAGGCTGTATAGCTCATCCCTTCCTTTTTCTGCTCATTAGCTCTGTGCTGGCCCAAACATCCTAAAAATAGAAACCTAGCTTCCTCCAGGCTGGTGAGGTTGGTCTGAAGAAAAAGGAAGAGTGATTGCTGGACAAAGGCTGAGGCCAATGAGTGGAGGATCTGAGTGGACCCGAGGAGAGTGGAAGTGGCCTCAAGATGAGGACACCCACCTTCAGTCAAGGGTATTGCTTTCTGCATGTTGCCCCCTCCCACAACAAAGGA